AAACCTGCAGTTAGACACTTCAGCCTAAAACCTGAGGTGTGATGTCTCATTTGGAACTGAAATGTCTGCAGGGCGATTTGTACTTAGCCATCTCCACAGTAAACTCATCGCAGCTAAATTAATTGCTGCTGAGTTTATCTGAAGGCACTCTGCCCAGAGAAAGCTCAGACAAACTCTGTGGGATGTTACGCTGTGGATTTCTACCGCATACACTCTGCTAGAAATTCCTGATTGAGACAAATAATCTTGTTAATGACGTTGGTCTAGTCTGTGAACCACGAAATGCATTTCGAATAAATCCATTTGCTCTAGCCAGTGACTCTGCGCTCTGCTGCTTTTCGGTGAGCTGGCAGGAGTGATGTTAGTCTGGAAATAGAGACCAGGGCCGGTTCAGGTTCCTCTGGAGCTAAAGCTGTGAGAAGCCATCAGGCTTTAGTACGTGGAAGGGCAACCACTGTCACTAATGCAGCTTTTGGAGAGTGGAGTCAAATGCCAGCACTGAGGACTGGCACAGAAATCCTGGGACTGGAACAGCACACAGGTTGGAAAATAAGGTATATTTACACTACAAAAGTGGACAGGAAAGCTGCTCAAAATATGACCTGTTGTACCAACAGAGGGAAGAGAGCGGAGTGTTTTATTTATATATAATGCTATTGTATTTCAGAAAGAGACAGACAGAGAAAATAGGGAAAGAGAGAGGGATAGAGAAAGTGTGAGAGAGACAGAGAGAGAGAGAGAGATAACAAAAGGGGTGTGTGTGTGTGTGTGTGTGTGTGTGTATATGTATATATATGTATATATATATATATATATATATATATATATATATATATGAGATAAGGTTCTTCTGTTAGAACTTTGTCATCGTAACAATAGCTGAACCCTTTTTGGTGCTATATAGAACCATACACAACACATTCTCCATCAACCTGAAGAACCATTTAACCATAAAAGAAACATTTAATCATTCAAAAGGTTCTTTGAGTGTTCATGGTTCTATATAGAACCATTTTCTTTACTAAAGAACCCTTGAAGAACCACCTTTTTTAAGAGTGTAGGTTTGACTCTACATAGGAGGCCTGTCAGTTACATCAACAGTTCAGTTAACCGTGATTACAAACTCCAGGACTGGAAACTGAATTCAAGTCCAGCTTTAAGGAACTCTGGTATATTAAATTACATTCTTCGTCTTTTATGCTTTCGAAGTAAGCACATACAAACTTTTTCTCTAAGCTGTATTTAAATGAGCTCTGTTCTGATTGGCTGTCGTGTGTTGCGCCTTATTCAAAAAGCAGTCTAAGTTGAAACACTACTCATGACTTCACTGTGAGTGGGCGGGGCTAAGCTTCTGTAGGCTGAATAGGCAGATGTGTGTAAAAGTTGGTTTTTGTAACATTGTAGGAACAGTTCATTCAAAACAAGCTGCTTTTGCAGGTTAGTTTCTAAGGACAGTATGTTATTGTTTTGAAACCTTAATGTTTGCATCGTCAAACATATAAAGAAATATATATATATAAAAAATACTCGTGTGTACACAAATTAGTGTTAGTCATTGAATAATCTTTGATTATGCTAGAGTTGTCAAGCAACAAAACAATGTTACTATGTAGGTTACTGGTAAAAATGCACAAATTTGACAATGTAAATATGCAAATGTGACAGGAGGAACTAGAGAGGGTGTGTAAAAAAAAACTGCTAAAAATGATCCACCAGCCAAATGATATCTGGTCACTGGTGGTCCTATGGTGGTCCCTTTCCCCTGATGTTGTAGAATGTTGTAGAGGAGGGCTAAAAAAAAAGCCTATCAACAGATGAGCTACAGTCTATAACTGCACAACTACAACGTGAACCAATATGGTATGCGTTTCCAATAAAATGGTCAGTGAGTGTGATCATTTCATCTGGTGTTTCCATTATTTTGTCCACCCCTGTATTTAAACAGTAGTGGGATGTTGACACCAAGCTTTAGGTTTTCAGATATGTATGCTAAAATAAAGGCCATAAATGGACACTGAATATTGTTAAATATGGTGGAATATTACTTTAATTAATTATAATAGTTTTAAAATCAATTCAGTGGAATCACAATCGATGCATTTTTATATCCCGAGTGTTTATAAATGTATGCAGCTGAAAAGACGAGCTCGTCTCATATGACCTCTTTAATATCTTTCCAATGTCATTGCAGTTTCAGAGCATTGTGTTTGCTGGAGAACAACAATGAAAAAAATGTTTTGCATTTTAACACTTAATGCTTTTCATTTTCCACATGCCTTTTTCCTTCATTATTTACAGCGGTCGTCCCTGGTGAGCACGCACAAACATCATTGTGAGGCCCTTTCACTGCTGTTTGAAGCTAATGCGTCTCAGGCTGTGGTGTTTTACAGCAGCTTGCTGGAGACAAAGTCTTATCTACCTCTCCTCTACTGGATTGAATTTACGGGCTTTTAGAACCTCGGGCTTTCTCTGTCTCTATTTAATTTGTCGCCTTGAAAATGACCAAGTCTGCGCTTATTGGGTTGTCGAGCTGTGGTGTTTCACAGCCGCTTTGTGCTGGAGTCGGCCGCTGTCTGCTTGTTTTCATCCGTGTTTACTTGTTGCAAACAAACAGAAAAAAACATGGTAAAATCACAGTAATGTACGGGTTTGAATGTTAAAATACAGTATAATATAATACAAATTATCAATTGATGTAGGAACAATTACAGTAAACAGTTCTTTTTCCGCCAAACTGTAGCACTCAACTCAGTTTATATCACAATACCTACATTTAGAGTCGGTTATTCATTCAGCCTAATGAGAAACTGTAGAACAGACTCAGTTTATATCACAATACCTACATTTAGAGTCGGTTATTCATTCAGCCTAATGAGAAACTGTAGAACAGACTCAGTTTATATCACAATACCTACATTTAGAGTCGGTTATTCATTCAGCCTAATGAGAAACTGTAGAACAGACTCAGTTTATACCACAATACCTACATTTAGAGCCATTTTTTAATATAAAGCATTCCGTATCTAATATGAAAGTCATGAGAGTGTAGTTCTGCAGTTGTGAGAGTGGTCTATATGTAATCTAATGTGAGTAATGCTTTGACCAAAATTCACAAGAAAGTGTGCTACAGTAACACGATTTTATTATAAGTCACTGTTGGTCAGTGTTATTATAAGGATATAGGAATGTGGGACAGATATATTTAGATTAAAAATGACAATGTCTCCGTATTCATTTAATAATAGTTTGATTTAATATTCATACAGTGTAGTTATAATTGACAGTTTTTGTAATTGAAAGGATGAGTAATTTTGTAATTCCATATCATCTTTTTATGGGTCATTCTCCATTTGGAGGGGAAACCGTGTCCCAGAGGTTGCAGGGCTTAAAAAGATGCTTAAAATATCAAGCACAGCTCCAAAAGTCAGTAGGTACATTTGCACAGTTGACCTAAGATTAAAACACTTTTCCCTTATGATTCTCAGATTTTTCTTTTTTTTATCCTGTTTCATAATCGCTCTGTATCTGTAAAACAGCTCGTCACAAAACCAGTTTTCAACATTTGCAAAACCATTTTTAATATAAACGATATTTTTAGGTTTAACTTAGGAATTTGTCTAAAAAAGATTAATGTTTTCTTTTTATATCATTAACATTATACTACATATGTATAATTAACTATACTAAATATGTATTTTATTTAAAAAAAATCATTTGTCTCAGAGATTTTAGTCACTGGTGTTATCAGGACTCTTATTTTACATTTTATTTTCAGCTCTATTAAACTGCTTCTTTGGGTCGAGGCTCATCAGAGAGGAAGCAGCTCAAGGCATCACTCACTATATTTCATTAATTTATTAATAATTTTGTGTATCAGGCAGCTCATAACTTCTATGTGTCAGTGGTGTTATGTGCTTTAATGGCTGAGTTACAATTTTGTCAAAATAATGCCAAATTTAATTTTTATTACTGATTTTAAATAGTTGCAGAAGGTCACCTGATGGCCGACAAGTCAGCCAGTTTACAGAATCCTCAGTTTTAACCAGAATGTCACTGGAGTCACCGTCACTGGTGTTACACCATATTCATACAACACCAGTAAAATATGTTTGGAATTAACCTCTCCTTTTTACATATATGACAATAGCAGATGTTAATGGACATATTAAGATTTAGTTTTTGATGAAAGCATTTTTTTAATTATATATCCACCTGAATTCCCACTCCAAATGGAGAACGACCCTCATGCATCTGAACATTGAAGTCACTATTCTGGGTCATTAATAAAACTAGTAATTTGACCCAAAATATGCTTTAGCTTAGCACATTTAGCAACTAATGAAAGTCTGCTATGACACTGCTGGACTGTCCTCTATGCTTTATTGCTAAAAATGCAAACATATGTAAAAGGTTTAGTTCCAAGAGTTGTGATGTGCATATTCAGTGTCACGCATCCCTCTGGCTCAGAGGTTTCCATGGACTCCATCTCCCAGAATCCTCTGGGGGATCACATGACTCCTGACCCTCCAGCACGCTCCAATCATAGATCTCTCTCTCCTGAATACTATAACACCTGTTGACCTCTCGTTAGCTTTAGTATAAAGCCTGGTATTTTAGAATAGTTCAGTGTGAGGTATTGCTTATTTCTTGAGCTACTGAGTGTTTGTTTCCTGTGTTGTGTTCTCTGGTTTTGACTTACCTGTTTTTGCCTGACCCCTTTTGGATTTTGTTTACCTGTTGTTATGTTTGTGTGTCTCTACTTGCTGCCCTTACTGGATTTGACCTGTGCCTGTTTCCTGACAACGATTTTGGTTGACGATTCATACAGTAAAGCCTTTTTATTTGCCTTTTTTATCCGCGAGCGTCTGAGTGGTTCTGTCACGTTACGTTCAGTATTTTGTCAGTGGTTTTGAATGTGGCTCAGCCAATCAGACTTCAGAGCTGGAACTATGGAACTAAGCAATTTGTTAAAATGTAATTTGTCTGTGTTTCTCCTGCAGAAACCTGTCGCGGAACCCCCTGACCACTCTTTCCTGGCAGCTTTTCCAGCATCTGCAGCTTATTGATCTGTAAGTGCACCTTGCTCTTGTTTGGTTTTCACTTTTACCGTCTGCTTCACTTTCCTTTATTGATTTTACTCTGTAATACTGTTTCGTATTATTCTCTCTTACATCACACACCTGTGATTTGTTGTTGTTTACTTCAAAGTGGCATTTCACACCTCCGGTACTGTAGTCCACTCCGTTCATGTGTTTCTGCACCAGAATCACATCATTAGCTAATGATCAAGTCCTTCTGGAGCTTCCTCGGGAGTTTCAGAGCTGGAAAACACGAAACTGTGCAGTTCAGGTGGAATGTAGAATTTAATTTGGTAAACACTGGCTACACTATGTGGACAAAAGTATTGGGACACCTACATATTACACTTACAGGAGCTTTCATGAATCCAATTCTAAATCCATAGGCATTAATACAGAGTTGGTCCCCCTTTGCAGCTCTAACAGCTTCCACTCTTCTGGGAAGCTTTCTACAAGATTTTGGAGTGTCTGTGGGAATTTCTGCAAATTCATCCAGAAGAGCATTTGTGAGGTCAGACACTGATGTTGGACGAGAGGGCCTGGCTCACAATCTCCATTCTAGTTCATCCCAAAGGTGTTGGATGGGGTTGAGGTCAGGCCTCTGTGAGGGCCAGTCGAGTTCTTTCACACCAAACTCACCCAGCCATGACTTTATGGAGCTGCTCTGTGTACTGGGGCCGGAACAGCAAAGGTTCTTCCCAAACTGTTCCCACAGAGTTGGAACTGTACAATTGTCCAGAATGTCTTGTTCTGCTGAAGCATTAAGATTTCCCTTCACTGGAACTAAGGGTTCTAGATCAACCCCTGAAAAACAGCCCCATATCATCATCCCTCCTCCACCAAACTCTACAGCTGGCACAGTGCAGTCAGGCAGGTAATGAGGTTTGTGATTAGGAGAGGTGTCCCAATACTTTTGTCTATATAATGTGGTTCTATATACAACCTTTTTGAAAATGGTTCTACATAGCACCAAAAATGGTTCTGTTATTTTGACAGCCCTCTTAATGATGGTTTCTTCAAGGGTTCTTTAGTAAAGAAAATGATTCTATATAGAACCATGAATACTGCATGATTAAAGGGTTATTTTCATCATTTAATAGAATGTGTTCTGTTTGGTTCTATATAGAATCTGGGTTTTTCTTTTGTTGCAATGTCAATCTTGTAACAGTAGAAGAACACTTCTGGTGCTGTATAGAATCCTTTTCAAAAAGGTTCTACATAAAACCATCTACAGCACATTCTCCATCAGTTTGAAGAACACTTTCACAATGCAAAGAACACTTTAATCATTCAAAGTGTTCACGGTTCTATATAGAACCCTTTTCTTTACTGAAAAAGCCTTGAAAAACTTAATCTTGACATCATAACAACAGCAGAACCCTTTTTAGTGCAATATAGAACCATTTACAACACATTCTCCATCAATCCACTGCTGGTTGTGGGGAGAGTAGTTCTGTCTCTCCTCTTAAAGGTGTAAACACCCACCCCACGGCCAGATGGAAGCCAAAGACATGGCAGAAATGTTGGGTTGGCATCTGGGGTGGCCAATCAGATTTCAGGGAAGGACAGTGACCCCTTTAAAATGGCACGTTCTTAATGTGTAAAGGAAATAAAACAGTCTTAAGAATCAAACTCAGAACTACATTAACTTGTAACATGCACCATTTGTGTTATATTACACAATGAGGTTGTGTGGGTGGAGCTAAGCCTTCTTTAATGGGCAATTCCACCAATTTTTCAAAATTTCTACATAATTCAGTGTTTGTGATGATGTAAACAAAGTGATTAAGAGCGGTTTGGTGTGAAATGGTTGATTTTTTTACAGTGGTGGTGATAGGAACCAGGGGTCGCCATGACTACAACACAAATATAGACATTTTATTTACTATATTGCAATGTTGCCATACCAAGTATACAAGTATCCACCATGAATGTCTCTAAAATTGTCTATTTTAGCCCAAAACCTTTAGCCCATAACCATTTCCTGTAATAACCTTCTGTGAGGGCTGATTTTAGAGGTGGACGTCTGGTTCCTATCACCACCACTGTGAACAATTCTGACTAGGTAAATTTCTCTAGAACAGAGTGTTTCACACCAAACCACTCTGAATGACTCTGTTTACATGTTAACCACCTAATTATGCAGATATTTTTAAAAAATCCTCTTTATAGAGGATGTAAATTGGCAAAATGTTGAAATAAACATATTTCTGTCACGTTTTAAAGACAATTTTTATTACTACAATTTAAGAGAAGACATTGTAGATCATTTGATATAACAACTGTACACAGTTTGAGACTAGTGCGGTGATTATTTATGCATGCAGTGAGCACCATGCTCATTGGTGAGGTATAAGTTTTCAATACTTGTTAGCTACATTAGCCTCTTAGCTCCAGTGCTGAAAAAAAAAGAAGCAAACATGTCTTGGCTGATCCGCTACATTTGGGGTAAGAGGGAAAATTGTGTAAATGTGGGAAAATTGAGTAAATTAGATTTTTTAACCCCAACGAAAGGAAACTTTCACTTTCACTGTTGCTCTCTGAATCCCTTCACATCTTAATATATAACTTCTAAGCTGTTTGAGCAGATTGGAAGCCCTTCAGACTGAAAGGTGTGGTGATGTTGACGAAGTGAATCCGTTGGCCATTCACAGCTTTCTGAGGTTGTAAAAGCTGAGGAGAGAAGTTATTACCTCAGTCCAACACCCACCCTGGAATACCACACTCACTCAGATCTGCTGAGTGCACCAGGCTTTCAACTGTACGCTGTGTGTGTGTGTTGATGGAGGAGTCTAAATGCAGTATTTTAAGGTCTGGAAGCAGGACATCTCCTCAGAGGAGCAGATCCATCTCCTCTGCTGGGTTAGCGCGTCCTTTAGAGACTCTCCAAGGATAGAGGGACACTGGGATGCCGTATGAGACATGATTTTTTAGTGCCCTTACAGTAAAGACATGGGTGGCAGTTTACTGTACTGCCAACGATTGCTCATCCTATACAGGGAACACATGCAAATATGGATTTTTTCTGCAAATTTTATTGAATTTTTCAAGTTTTTATCTTGAGGAAAAATGAAATATGAAGAATAAAATGTGCTGTGACTTTTTACAGGCCACATGTTTTGTAAGTTTTTACATATATATATATATATATATATATATATATATATATATATATATATATACACACATATACATATGTGTGTGTGTATGTATGTAATGTGTTAAACACTACCGTGACCCTATCTGGATTAAGTGGTTGAAGATGATGATGATGATGCTTCAGTAACTACATGGACTCCAGTGCAAACTGGCTGAGTTATTATTAAAGCAATAAGCCACAAAAGGCTTTGAGTTAATTTAAGAAGATATCAATAATACTAATAATCATGCGCATCCAGTAAAAAAGTGAATGTACTCATTTTACATGCATAATGATATTAACAAATGCTGCAACTGCTCCATATTCCATTTTAAGATTAATTACTCTGTGCTTTTGCTAGTTTCTTTCACTGCAATAATACAGCATTTAAATATTATTTTATCAAAATAATCACACGACACAATCGTTCTACTGTCTTAAAAAAACTTAGACTTTATCCTTTTTTTTTTTCCAGTTGTTGTATTTTTAATGCTATAAAGTTTGGTCAGTAGGGGGAGCAGTGAGTGCACCCCTTCACATCAAACTCCGCCTACAAGCACAGCCGTTGGATCATGAACTACGTGAGCCCAGAGAGGCCATGAGGTAGTTATCATTTTCTGGATTATTATCTTGAGATAATGAGTTAATTATCTTGTAATCTCATGATAACAAAGGTGATATCTTGATGAAACGAGTTAACTATCTTATAATCTCAAGATAAAGTTGTTAAATTGAGATAACTAGTTAAATAATAACTAGTTCTTGTGATCTCAAGATAACTCTCAAGATTACAAAGTTTTTGCCTTGAGATGATGAGTTAATTATCTTGTGATCCCAAGATAACAACTATCTCAAGATGACAAAGTTATTCTGAAATAACGAGCTAACTGTATTAAGATCTCAAGATTACAAAGTTGTTACCTTCAGATAACGGGTTAATTATCTTGTAATCTCAAGAAAACAGTTATCTTGAGAGTATAAAACAATTAACTTGTTATCTCAAGATAACCAAGATAATCCAGAAAATTATAATAACAGCTGATGTCCTCTCCGGACTTCCATAATAATTTTTTGTGTCTTGTGGCTCCCCATCAAAACATCTGCATAAATTAGGGTGTGCTTTATGTAAATGATATGTAAATGAGGTGCTGGTGGGCTGGAGCTTGATTTCACTCACCGAAGCTGATTACTCTTAAATCTCTGCTCATATAAAAGTTTCATCAATCAGATGTACAGTAGATTGTATTTAAAAACATCCAAATCTGTGCTCTTTGATGAATAATGAATAATTAACTTAATATTTTTAAGTTTGCCACAAATGTCTAGATACTTTTCGAGGCCACTGTTTATAATATATAGCGTATATTATATATATTGCATGTGTGGGTGTGATAATTCAGTCAAAATAGCCAAAGGCCAGTGTCTGCAACCCTCCAGATATCATCATTATAATCCACATCCTTTTCTCTAAAAGCTCTTGTGAAGAACCCAGACTGCTTCAAGGATGAAGCCAATCATGACACATTTCGGAGCGTTTATGAAGCTGTCTGCTCTGGGTGATGCGCTGTTAGGCGGGTTGAGGAAATGAGAACATGTTGAACCTCTCAGTATGAGAGGAGCATCTGCACACATAAAGCAGGGCTGAAGAGCTGGAGGCTCTTTTATTTCCTGATGGATAACAACGTGAAACGGATGCGGAATATTTGCTGGATTGAAGACTTTGGTATCTCCTCCTTTATAGACTAGGGCTGCACCATACGGGAAAAATTCCAGACTGTGATTACAGTGCTATATAGGGCAATTTCGATATACGTCGCAATGTGTAAGAATGTTTGACGTTTGAATGTGTATG